AGGGGGCGCGCCCCACAGTTTGGGAACCTCTGCATTACATCATGATCATGCATGTCTGTTTTCACTTATTCACAGGACAAACCTTCCCAAGGGGATCTAAAGGTCCTCTTCCTGTTCCTGGTGGGAAAGGTTTCACAGATGGACATCAAGGCATTGATGGCCCCCCTGGACCAGTGGGCCCACCAGGTCCACAAGGCCCCCCCGGACTTCCAGGACATGGGATTCCTGGATCACCAGGAAAGCCAGGTCCCCCAGGTCCTCAGGGATACAGGGGAAATGGAAAACCTGGAATCCCAGGATTGCCTGGAAAACCTGGAGGCCCTGGATTACCAGGAGCAAAAGGGGATCTTGGACCAATTGGTGGTCAAGGGCCAACAGGACTTCCTGGGCCTCCAGGACTCCCAGGTCCCACTGGACTCCCTGGAATTTCAAAATCAGGAGGCCAGGGGTTACCAGGACTGCCAGGGCAACCAGGAGAACCTGGCCAAAATGGTCCACCTGGGTTTCCTGGTCCTCAAGGTCTAAAAGGCGATAAAGGGCTTGGTCTGCCTGGTTTTCCAGGTGTGAATGGACCTGGTGGGCAACCTGGTCCACCTGGACAAGTGGGCCTCCCTGGCAATGGCAAACCTGGTCTGAATGGTGTACCTGGACAGCCAGGATTTCCAGGAAAACCAGGTCCTCCTGGAGAAGCAGGGCTAGTAGGAGCACCAGGTCAAAGAGGGCAACCAGGACTTCCAGGTGTACCAGGAATAGGAAAACCAGGAAAAGATGGTGTTAGAGGGTTACCAGGGTTCTTTGGAGGAAAAGGCGAACCAGGGCCTCCTGGTTTGATTGGACCACCAGGCTTGCCAGGTTATGGTAAAGCAGGATTTCCAGGGCCTAAGGGTCACAAGGGACATGCTGGTCTTCCAGGACAACCAGGTCCAAAAGGTGTCAAAGGTCAAGTAGGTCAACCTGGAGTTATTGGTCTAACTGGTTTGACAGGAATACCTGGTGTACCAGGGCCCACCGGGCCTCCTGGTAGTCTTGGCTTCCCAGGACAGAAGGGAGAAGATGGCACATTTGGCCCTAGAGGAAATCCTGGAATGAAGGGTGAAACTGGACCTCCTGGTCTTTCAGGACATCCAGGTAGGCCAGGAGAGGGTGGACAACCGGGACAAAGAGGATTCCAAGGGCCAATAGGGCCAAAAGGAGAAGCTGGGGCTAGAGGTTTACCTGGTGCCCCTGGTGCTGCAGGATTACAAGGACCAAGAGGAGAGGGAGGAGAGTCTGGAAACAAGGGTCAACCAGGTCCACAGGGGATCCCTGGACTTACAGGACCAGGGGGACCAATTGGACCTCCTGGTCGTCCAGGACATAAAGGTGAAACAGGACCAACAGGTAACCCTGGTTATCCTGGTAATGGGACCCCAGGAACCCCTGGTGAAATTGGTCCTCAAGGAAACCCTGGTCCCAGCGGTCCTCCTGGACTTCCTGGACAACCCGGCCCTCCAGGTCCTCCCGGCCCTCCAGGAATACCTGCTGAATCTCCTGACATTATTCAATTCCTCCCTCACACAGGCCCCTACAATGGACAAGGTCACAAAAAGCCAGGCAATGGAGTTGAGATTAGTGGAACCAAGCAGCAGATTCCTGCATTCACCTCAAAACTGACAAATCCATTCCCTCTAGTAGGTTCCCCAATCACATTTGACAAACTTCTCCACAACGGAAATCAGGACTACAATCCACAAAGTGGTATTTTTACATGTAGTATACCAGGAATCTATTATTTTGCTTACCACATCCACTGCAAGGGAGGCAACGTTTGGGTGGCTCTGATGAAGAACAGTGAGCCAATAATGTACACTTACGACGAGTACAAAAAGGGTTTCCTTGATCAGGCTTCAGGAAGCGCTGTACTCCCACTGAGAAAAGGAGACACTGTTCATGTAGAGCTGCCATCAGACCAGGCAGCAGGACTTTATGCTGGTCAGTATGTCCATTCCACATTTTCTGGATACTTACTGTACTTGATGTAATAAGTAGGAGGCCATTGTCATACATTAAAAGGGAAAAGTATTCAAGACTCAGTGTTTGTAGACCAAAATTAGGGAATATATGTAGGAATAACTCAGCGCTTTCGGTTGTCAGTTGCCTAGAGTAGAAAATATTGACCCCTTTGCATGTCGTATTACACTTTTCAGAAAGCATCCCATTCTGCCATGACAGACATTCAAACAATTCCTTTAAAGCTTGTCAAAAACATAGTTGATAGCCTAATATGACTTTTATTTAGTTGATTTCACTATAAAAAGGTCAAAGGGTACTACATTGTTGGCTGCATAAACAGACATGGATGCAAACCAAACTTATCATTTTATTGTATACCTTTTGAAGTGGAAACAAGACAACAATGGACAATGACGTCAATTGTAAGGACTGGCAGCCCTCTGAGCATTTGTGGGTTTGCAGCAAATAATTTTTTCAAGGTTAGCAGACTTAACATTTGTAAACTTCTTAAGCAAGTAAGTCTAGTAAGATTCAATGAATTATTAGATTATGGACAATGCATGTGTGTAATAATTAGTAAATATCCAAAAAATGCCCCACCATCATGTAGTCTACCATGTACAAAAAAAATTGGTAACCATCTAGACTTCTGATTGCTTTTAAGTCTGCTCTGGTGGAAGGAGAGCGCTGTTATGACACAATGGTGTAAATGTATTGTGGTGTGAATTCAGGCAAAGATGGTGATTTGATCGAATCAGCAAGCATGTCAGGAGGGAGAAAGTATGGGTCAGTTTCTAAGTGCTAGCTCTTTCCAACTTTTATAAATACCGCTGTCTATAAGCCCCAACCAGGTCTGTTACTTCCACAGACAAATTAGCCTGACTTGAACAAGTAGAAGTCATAGTTTTACTGGCAAAACATCTTGGGAAACAATTTCAGTCACTTCCTTCAATTTTCTAGTCTCTCACTTCCAATGTCCATCATGGTGCCTCAGTTTGATCAGGTGACATATTTGCAAAGGGTTAATATATTTTAGTGCAATTAACATTGGTTTCACTTTTACATGTTTAAAGAAAGAGGTGATAGCAACATGCTACCCCGAGTTATAAGTTGCCATATGCACATAATTTGCTGTAAACCTGTTCACCTAAATAACTGGTTAGCATTGATTTATTCATTTTACTGTATTCTGTGCACAATAAGAACATAACATATAAATTAAGCCATTCATTTATTCACAATTATACTGTCGACACATGTATTTTCCATTGTTTATCATTTCTGTATGTTTTGTATATTATTTGGCACATGCAGCTGGTAAAATATTAGTTTGATTCAGCATTATATAAAGACATCAAACTGCATCTACATCCACAAATTGACAAATTTTCCTACGTGTTTTGCATTCTTTTTTTCTTGTCATAATAATCATAATAATGATTATGGCGTTTCTTTAATTTATTTTTATTTCAACTACTGATTACTTGAATTTGCTTTATTTGTTGAGTGGGAAAATTTATTTACTTCAAAAATTTGACATAAACAATGTTTTAGGCTAAAAAAAACTATTCAAAGATACATTTTTCAAGCAAAATCTGCCAGTTTTTCTTCCTGTGTTCAAATGATGTGTGATTTTGGAACAAAATTCCTTGTATTTTTCAATATACTCATAGTGTTTCCAAAACGTGAACTTTCTTGTTCTTCTCTAAACTGTGTGCCAGCGAAAGAATAAAGCTTTTGCTTTCTCTCTAGAATTGTTGCAACTCATGGTGGCAGCATGTTGTAGTTGCTCTGTTATGTTAGTTCAGATTTATTCTCTTTGTAGACGTCAAGTCTATAAACTATTCCCAATACATAAGTGTTCCTCAAATGGAATACTTGCGCTTTAATTCAGTATTCCCAAGCATGGTTTGGGAATAAGCTGGGCATGATTAAGATGTTGCATGTTTGGACATAATTTATGACTCCAACATCTCTTTGCCCAGCTTTCTTACCATGCAACCAGACAAGAGATCTGAAAATCAGTGTTAAAAGAAAATTATGTGGATTAGCAGTGCTTGCCATGTTGTCATCGAGAAGATGTTACTGTGGAATACCATCACCGGTGCCCGAAAATTGAGCTGTTAGCATGTCATGACATGAGAAAGTCATACAGCAACAGTCTTAAGTCAGACGGCTCTTCAGCTTCATTGCAAGACTGACTGATCCCTCCTGGCAAAAAGGATCATCATCCAAAATGAGTCTTTGAAGATATTTAGTTGATATGAGTTACAGCAACCTTTAATTTCCATTTAAAATATGAGAAGTATTTTTAAATAGAACTGAATGAGAATTTTACCTTCTGTTTTATTCTGCTTGATTTTTCTCCGTTTTCAAATAAAATGAATAATTAAAATGGATACTTGTATAGCTCCACTGTTTGATTTTTCATTCACTTTGAAAGAAATTTAACTCCAGGTTTATATTTTGTGCAGTTTACTTTTACTGTATTTGACGGAGCAGTCAATTCAACAGCTGCTATCATTGCAGCCTTCCACTAGATGTCACTCTTTCTCCTTGCAGTTATCCATTTACCGTACTTTCTGCATAAAAACATGCATCAGTTCTTCACAAAGCTCGTAACCAAAATAATAAATACTTTACCTTCTTATGCTGAGCATCAGATATATCTATATTATAGAGTGAGAAAAACTGTTATTAGAGTTCAAAAAAACTGAGAAAGGAACCTGCCCTGCGATAAACTGGCGATCTGTCTAGAGCAGGGGTGTCCAAAGTGGGTCCTCGAGGGCCAGTCTTCCTGGTTTAACGCACCTGGATCAAATGATGGCTCATTAGAGACCTAAGGAGAACATTGACAAGCTCAAAAGATTGTTACTACCACCAGGGAGAGAACTAAAATATTGCAGGACCGACTTTGGACACCCCTGGTCTAGGGTGTACCCCGCCTCTCGTCCAGAACGTTAGCTGGAGATAGGCACCAGCACCCCTCCTGACCCCACTGGGGACAAGGGTGTTAGAAAGTGGATGGGTGGATGAGAAAGGAACCAGTCATAGGCCTTATCCCAATACTCGCACTCCCACCGTCGTTCCTCCCTAGTGTACTTAAAATGCGTGTTCATGATGAAGGATTTGAGTGCGTACATTCTCCTTATCCGCCCTTCGCTCCGTCCATATTGGGTACTATTTCCACCCTTACGCGAAGAACGCATAACAGACTTCGGCGAAGTGTGTTACCCACAATTCATTGGTGAATGTGACGTTTTGAGTTAAAAGGCTGACTTATGGCAACGTTTTTTTTTTTTTCCTGTCTTAATTGAAAATAGTATGACAAGACACCAGTAATAAAAAAATTTGATATGATAAACTTAGCAGAAAAAAGAAGAAATAAAAAAGAATACTCACAAACTAACTGTGAGGAAAGTAAAACAAAATGTCACAAATGCAAGACAAATTTCAAATCTTAAATTAAGATACTAACATATTAGTATAAGATTGGGATTTTGTGACGTTGCAATGTTTAAGAACTCTCTTAAATAAAATTATTAAAAATATTAGGTGTATTGTCTCAAAATCTCAGGCACATAACGCCCTGGAATTGATATTTATTTTCAATTTATTTTGCAGAAAGTCATTATATGGAAAACTTTATAAATAATTATGAAATTAATATCTTAAGTTTTTTGTGGGAGTGGAATAGAAATAGATATATGTCAGAGATCCTGATGAAGTTTTTCCAACAGAATTCATAGGCTGTGTCCGAATTCAGGGTCTGCATCCTTCGAAGGACCGGTTTACGTAGGACGGGTCCTTCGAAGGCCGGGAATAAACTG